GCCCAGTCATCTTATACGCCGGCAAATACGGTAATTAGAATATCAGGATTTGCAGCTGGTCTTTGAGAGCAAGGAGCTGAATTACTTTCCTACTCAATTTTGTAACTGAAATGCTGTTTTTAAAAAAATGTTATGACATGCTGGTAGCTAATCAGAAGATCATGATTTTGAAGGTTTCATCATTATCTCTTGCAATATTATACAAAGTAATGATTTATTATACTGTAATCACTTTTTGCCTTTTGACAAATTTCCAATACTTACTAAAATATCCCTGTAGATTAACTATTTCTCTGCTAAGGATTCTATAGTAAAAACCTCCCGGGAATGTGAAACTATAAGAGTAGGGACTTTCTGTTTAGTTTATTTTCATATCCCCAAGGTCTAGTTTAGTGCTGGTACATAGTAATTAATAAATATTTTTTGATATAAATAATAGAAAGCATCAAATGATGATCCCGTGTGGCTGATGGAATCTTGCTGAGGCTTCTTGACTTTTGGCTAGTTCTTAAAATTTTAATATATTTGATTTTCTTTTAGTTCCAAATTCTCCACGCCTTGGGCCTAAGGTAGAGACTATAGCTCACCTAATTATAATTGCCAACGATGATGCATTTGGAACTCTTCAGCTTTCAGCGCCACTTGTTCGAGTGGCAGAAAATCATGTTGGACCCATTATCAATGTAACTAGAACGGGAGGAGCATTTGCAGATGTTTCTGTGAAGTTCAAAGCTGTGCCAATAACTGCAATAGCTGGTGAGTAAAGATATCTAAGTAGCAGTGAATTGTTTTAGAGGGAAATTTTGTCCTTGATTAACAAAGCTACTCAAAGATGTAGTTAGAAAAATCAGCCAGAAGACAATAATACTCTTGCATGTTTTTTGAGGTATAAACCTAGTGTTTTTATCATGTACTGATGATTTTTGTGTAATTTGTGAAAACTGTTGGAAAATTGTATTTGAATTTAAAAGCTCTGACGACTAAAATATGCACAAAGCCATGAAAAGTAAACTAAGGAAAGCATTGTTAGTCTTTCTCTGTGTGTACCTTTTAGTTTTTTTTTAAGGGTTTCATATGTAAATAAACCGAGGAATGCTGGATAAATGTACAGCCATATGATTGCGGTGCTTGGCAACAGTTTTGTCTCTTGACCCATTTATCTTGCTTGTTTGTTTATTTATGGAAAACATGGAAGAAGCAATGGTTAGCATTCATTATTTTAGGTATAAGCAAAAGGATTTCGTTGCAAACATTAGGCAACTGCCTTCTTTGATGGTGCAGTTACAGCAGCTAAGGGAGATTTGCCTAAGAGCAATTCAATTAGAATTTTTCTGTTATGCAATCAAAGGAACAAGAGTGTGAATGGATGGGATAACAGGCTTGATTTTTAAAAAATAAGTCACCTGGATATGATAGTTACTTGAAAAGATAATAAACCAGGCTCCCCTAAGTGGTGTGTGTGTACATGTGTATTTGGGGTGGATAGCCCAGAGGAATGCCTGACTGTGTATCGAGGGCCTTATACATTGATAGATGGTGGGGATTGATCATTGTTCTAGGAAATTAGCTCTTGTACTCCATAGAAAGCTTCTTTCCTTTCCCCAACCACTGTCTGACCAGAAACAAAGCCACCCTGAGCAGTATACAGTAGCATCCTTTAATCTAGCTTTGTAGGAAAATCCATAGTTGCCAGCTATAACACTGATGATGCTGACGTGACTATATCTGTACAACAGTATAATTTATCTCCTCAGTGAGATCAGAATTCCAGCTCTGTTCTTTATTTTAAAAGCATTGTACACATTTTTTCTTTTGTAGATAAGGGATTATCTTGTAATGAATGATGATGTGTATATCTTTATCTCTGTATCTGTGTATCATCTATATCTATATGGCAAATAGAATAAATTATGTATACATCTTTCTAAAAAATGAAAGAATGAGCTTGAACACCCTTAGGAAGTCTTTTTCATTGTTTTGTCACATCAAACCCATTTTTTCTAGCAGGACAGGTAAAACCTTGTTTAGAATATATGCAGTAAGTATTCTCAAAAACGGGTTCTGAAATATATCCATAAAATTTGATTCATCATAGTATTTCCCTAGTATATGGAATGTTTATTATCATATTTTGGAATAAGTCTTAGCATCTTGCTTTTTGTCTTTGTAGGTGAAGATTACAGCATAGCTTCATCAGATGTGGTCCTGCTAGAAGGGGAAACCAGTAAAGCTGTGCCAATATATATTATTAATGATATTTACCCTGAGCTGGAAGAATCTTTTCTTGTACAACTCCTGAATGAAACAACAGGAGGAGCCAAACTAGGGGCGTTAACAGAGGCGGTCATTATTATTGAGGCCTCTGATGACCCCTATGGATTATTTGGTAACCAGACTAGTTTGTGTCTCTTTTTTACTTGTCTGTATAGATCATACATTTCTTTAGCTTTAGAGATGCAGAATTGATTTGATCATGCTTTCTTTTTAACTTGCTATTGATGATATGTATAGTATCTATGAACACTCACTGGCAGTGGTTAATGGTTATTAAAAAAGAAATCAACCTCTTAGCATAAATGTGGAAGTCAGACTTCTAGGCTTTTAGGTCAGATCTGGCTCCTAGTTGTGTTTTGTGAATCTTAGACAATTCTTAGAAAAAATTATTTTTTTATTTTTTTAAGGTTTTTNTGGTTAGGGATAAGAAGTGGGAGTGGTCCACCTTGGGCAGAGGATCTGGTACAGCAGCTTCTGTTGGAAAGTAGCAGCCACTCCCCCTGGGGTTGTGGCTCAGCTGCTCTGCAGAGAGTGAGGGTACTGGTAGAGAGCAGGCTTGAGCTTGTGGGGCAGAATGCAGTTATTGTGTTATAGCTTGTTCGTTAGTCACGTTTTCCTAACTGGGCGTCTTGCTTTAGAAATGTGAGAAGAATCTAGATTTCCTGGAATAAGGGAACGAGTAAAGGAAGAAAGATTGGTGATATTAATTTAAGATCAATATAATGTCAGGTTTAGGACAATATTTATATGAAGACAAATAAAACCTTTTCAAGGAAACTGATTACATAGTCCAAAGAGTAAGATTCCAAGATCTGCGTGTTGACTATATTATGCCACGTCAATTAAGTTTTCCTGCAAGTAAATTTATTTACCTTCCTGTAACATCTGTGTGGATATATTGGGTAGTGAGCGACATTCTTGTATGCAGTGTAGCTGTCGTCCATAGTGGTAGAAGGAAATTTACTGTATAGGACAAATGCTAACATTAAATTTTCAGATAATAGTCAAGGATAAAATTCTCACAAAATAATACTTCATCCCTTTTTTTTTTCAGCAAGATTTAGAATCAGTTAAAGTAGTAAATAAATTCAAATACAACTCACTTATCAAATAAGAATTAAATAACACAGTTGGTTTTCAAGGAACTCACAGTTTATTGAGATAGAAATAAAACCAAGAAGGAGTATCACATACAGCAGTAGCTAGGAGCTGTGTGTGCCGGTGTCAGATAACTTATATTCCAGTATGTAGTAATAAACTTGGACATACTCATCTTTAGACCCAGTTCTCTTATGTGTAATACAGAAATATTATGGGACTTAAGTAGATAATACATATGAAAATTAACAGTGTCTTGCACATGATGAGCTTTCAGTAATGTGAACAGATATTATCAATAAAGTGGTATTTGCAGAATATCAGTGTGCTATGGGGTGGGAAAAATAATTGGCATGCATCTTATGCTTGATTTGTTCCTGGAACCATGCAGCATACTTGGGGCAATTCAGAATAGGCATAGGCTTTAATTTAAATTATCAAAGAACAATTAAGTGCAAATCTGTGTGAAATTGACTCAAATTTTTATAGGCAAAATAAGTGTAGGACCGGGTAGGGTCTCAGTTACTCTGCCCTGAGTGTATTCATCAATGTTCAGGAGAGCAGCATGAGAGGATTGATGTTTGGCGCCTGTCAAGGGCATAGGTCCATATGAACAGCTGTGGATAGATGAAGGATTTTACCTGGTTTGATGAGAAATTGTATAGAGGGAGCAAGAGATTAGACAATCCCTTATATTGGGTTGTCGGAAAAGCCATGACGCATTTTTGCAACGAAAAACAGAAAAAATACGTCATGACTTTTCCGACCACCCAATAGGATGCCTCTTGATTGTGTCCACCAGGTGCTGGGACAATTCCTTAGGTGACTTCCTCAACATCTTTGTGCCTTCGATTCCTCATCTGTAAACTGGGGACATGTAATTTACCACATACAGATGGTGTGGGAATTAAATGACTTGATATAAGAGAAGTGCTTAGAATAATGCCAGGCAAATACTGCATACTCAGAAAATGTCATCGTCTGCTACAACTCTCTATGTCACTGTCATTCTTTCGTAATTTAGTTGAATTTAATTATGTTGATTTCTAGTTTGTGACTTTATGATATGATTGAGGATGGACTGGGCCTATATTGTTGAAATTAAATGGTGTCATTACTTGTATTTAGATTAAATTGTCTGAAAATATTAAATTTTATTCATTATCACGTACTTCCAAATACCACAATTGTTAGAGATATTCTAAATATGAACTCAAAATTGTTTACTTCTGAAGAGTTTTTTGACACTTCATTTGTCTTAAAAGCTCACTTTTTCAATTGTTTGGCAAGGTAGCTGGTTGGAATTGAACCTAGAAAATAAACGAGGGAGAGTGTTTGGAAGGTCCTAAGTGCCTTCAACATAAGCTTTGCTCTCTTGCAAATGAGTGGAAAGTAGGAAGAGAGCCATAAAAGTACTGTGCACTCTGTTATGGCAGCACTAAGGTAGCACTGAGGCTCTTTTTCCGGATGAGCTAACTAAGAGGGGGCAGGGAGGAACAGGTTTGTGAAGGGGAGAGTGAAGCAGTCAGAGGCGGTAACATACCGTATTTGCCGGCGTATAAGACGACTTTTTGGCCCTGAAAAATATGCCTCCAAGTGGGGGGTCGTCTTATACGCCAGGTACACTTCAGATAGACTGCCCATAGTGCTTGCCCCATGCCATAGTGGCCTC